TTAAAAAATATTTAAATATCCGCCAGAAATCCGCCGGAAGTCCGCTGGAAAATGTTATTTTTTTTAAATTATTTAATTATCCTCCGGAAATCCGCCGGAAAATTGTTAATTCTTTTTTTTAGAAAATATTTAATTATCCGCCGGAAATCCGCCGGAAATGGTTAATTATTTTTTTAAAATTATATAATTATCTACCAGAAATCCGCCGGAAAAATTGTTAATTCTTTTTTTTTAATTATTTAATTATCCGCCGGAAATCCGCCGGAAAATTATTTATTCTTTTTTTAAGAAATTTTTTAATTATCCGCCGGAAATCCGCCGGAAAATGTTACATTTTTTAAAAAAAATATTTAATTATCCTCCAGAAATCCGCCGGAAAATCGTTAATTTTTTTTAAAGAAAATATTTAAATATCCGCCGGAAATCCGCCGGTAAAAAGTTGTAATTAGATGTAAATTCAAGATTAAACTGAGTACTTAAGAAATCCGCCGGAAATCCTTGGTAGTCAACAAAACGTTGACTTTTTTGGTGTCCCACGGAAATCTGCCGGTAAATTACCGCGGATTTCGTCCGCCGGAAATTGCGCCGGAAATGGTCAGTTTTCTAGTAGTGATGCTGAAATAACTTTGGCCAATTGCTATCTAATAAGGTACTTAATGAAATGTTGTCATCTCTCATCATCTATTTTTGGACAATTGACCCTTTGATCATTATTGTTATTAACTTGGTTGTGGGAAAACAAGGTGGAAACAAAGCAATCTGGAAACAAAGAAACTAATTGTAAAAAAAAAAGAAACAAATCAAAACAATCTGGAAACAAAGAAACTAATTGCAAAAAAAAAAGGAACAGATCAAAGCAAACTGAAAACAAATGGAAACAAACCAAATTGAGTTGTGACATGTACAGATCCTAATATTGGAAGGAAGTCTGATAAGCCATACCAAATAAAAAATGTGACCRTTCACCATCTTTGAACTTGCAAGATTTTGTAAGAAAAAAGATGCAAAGAGGTAGTCGGACCATTCACCAAAGCCGGAAGTTGTGAAAATTCACATAACAAAGACATTTAAGGCATTTAATTAACATTTCTAAGTTCGATAACACATATTCAAGAATCGATGAAAGCTCCAAAGGCATTAAAAAGAAACCTTGGAGACAAAATGGATAGCTGAAATTCAAGAATCGATGGAAAACAAAAACATGAAATCCAAGAATCGATGTAATCTAACAATCGATAGAATGAAACAATCAATGAAAGCAAATTAACATACCTAGACAGAAGTTTGAATAGAACAAAAGTGTGAATATGTAATAAAGCATATATATATATATATATATATATATATCAGAAATCGATATGGAATAGTAATCATAATATCAGTAATCGATGAGAGCTTTTGTGTGATCGATGAGAATTTTTTTTCTGAATCGTCACTTTGTATGTAATGAAGCGTGAATCATCACTTTGGAAGTTCTCAGAGTGTGTTATTCTATAGCATAGTTGAGTTGTACATCAAAAATAAAGTTGTAATTAAGACTTTATGTATAAAAACGTAGTAACCTATGTGTGATAACTGAGTTAAAAGTTTTGGGATTAGTTTTTATTAAGTGATGGGAGATGAGGGAGGTGTTTTGAAAAATTGCTTTAAAAATAATTTCACATGCACCGCCTCTTATTTTAAACTTATTATGCTATCTTTTCTTTTAAAGATATGGAGAAAAGTTGGTGTATGTGTGTGTTTTTTTTTTCTGGTTTGAAGAAAACAAAAACCGAAGGGAGGAAGAAGAATCTGACTACTTGCTTTTAAACTGTTGTTGCTACTGAGTTTATCATTTTTATCTACTGTGTTTTACAAGGTGAGTTTTATTTGTAAGGACATCATTTAATGTGTTTTTGGTGAAGAAACCGTAAAGTTTCATACATGAGTATTTGATAATCATATGTTATTTATTAGCATAATTTTTAGGTTTTGATATGATTTTATCATCTGATTGTAATAAATGTGACATAATCAGGACCTGTGTATTTTTGGTAATAAGAGTGGTATAATTAGGAGATTGATATTTTTGATAATAAGGGTGACATAATCAAGAATTTTGTATCTCTTTGTAATAAGGGTGGTATAATCAAGAGTTGGGTATACTAGGATAAAGGTGACATAATCAAATTATGGAAATGATGATCTTTTGACCATGAGATTATTGTTATCATATATGTTGGATGTGATGGGATTCATTTTATCGCATGTATCTAATGCGATGAGATTGGGTTTTGATTCAGAGTGTTACTTTATCCATCAATGAGATGCGACATGTTGGGTTTATCACACTAGTGTGGTGCGAGA